TTGGTTGTCGACTAAGGTAGTGGAGGCTGCAGAAGCCAAAATGTAGGCATTGAAAGTAGTGGATGACTATTCACAGGCTGCCAGGTTGGTTGTTGACTGAGGTAGTGGAGGCTGCAGAAGCCAAAATATAGGCATTGAAAGTAGTGGATGACTATTCACAGACTGCTAGGTTGGTTTTTGACCTTTTGAATCCATTGCAAACAGAAGTCGATGGCACTGTAAATCGCTGTCTCAAACGTCTGTACCAAAATGTTTATATGATGCATTGATGTGTGTATCATTTTGGCTGCTGGATATTTGTACCTGAGCTTTGTGATGGTTAGACCTCTTTGAATGTTTCTTCTTTTTTCTCAGGACTTGTATACCCATTTAGATTTTGTGTACACTGCTATTAATACTAATTTTTGGGTGATGGACTATTTGCATTCATTTGAAGTTGGTGAAAATGATCTAACTAAATTTCCTTTTTTCCCAGGATGGAGCTGGAAAAACTGAAGGTTGTGATTGCTGAAAGCCAAGAGAAGAAACCAAGGCTGGGGTCCAGTCAAGCTATTACTGATGCCACCAAGTACCTGAACAAAATTACCTATGACCTAGACACAGCAGTAGCTGAGGTAAACATGTAGACTGGTGACTTACTTCAAATATGTACATAAATAGAAAGGAAGGCATTGGGTAATAAGCTTGCTCAGTTTCTTTGGTCCATAAGTCAGTGAAAGAGAGAATGCCCAAATTCACTGGCCATCAAAGTCCAACATTCTTTATAACAAGATTCTGAAGTAAATAAGCACTTGAAAATGAAAATATTCATACTTTTTCAGAGCAGATGACGTCATTTCTTTACAGAGTAGTTACATCAGGTAACAGAAAATTTATGTCAAATACACTTTGAAATCCAAGAGGAAGAATTCTGAAATTCTTAGTTTATTAAAAAAATTTTTTTGAATTCCTGTAAGGTGGTGAAAGCTCAGGCAGAATCAAACATCTTGAAGGAGTACCATGACTTAATCCAAGAAGGAAGGGAACAATTTAGTAAGGAGCTGAAGAGTCTTATGCCAGAAGTCAAGCTGGGAGAAAAAGGTATTGAAAAAAAAAGACAATATGTGGACAATATCTGATAGTCTTGTGCCCAGAATATTCTTCCTTTGTAAGGTCTCATTCAGTAGAATCCTGTGGTTGCTTATCAGAGGCGGAGCTAGGATTTTACTGGGGGGCACAAAGGGGTACCAACATCTAATGGGAGGGCACCAGCTTTCAGTGGTGTGGTTTTTGGGGGGCAAGTTTTTGTTAGCCTTGTTCAATATCCATTCATCCATTTTTTTTCAGTGTGTGTGTGGGGGGGGGCACCGGGGATTTGTGGGGGCACATCCCCCCTCCCAGGCCACCCCGTGGCTACGCCACTGGTGCATATGTCAAAATCTTAAACCCAAGTTACCATGTTCGTGATCACCATATTGTTCTTTCCCCTCATAAAGGCAAAAAGCTGACTGAAGATGAGTTAAATTCTTTGATTGCTCATGGCCATCGTCGCATAGAGCAGCTGCAACACCAACTAGCTGAACAGCAAGCTATGGAGCAGCGACGACTACAGCAGGCACTGCAAAAACAGAAAGGAGAACTTGAGCAAGAGATGGTAGATGCCATCAATAGGGAACTGGAGAGGAAAGAAGGAATTTTTGCTGTGGATTTAGACAAGAAGGTTAGACTTTAGGCATGATTGGGTAATGGATTGGGGTCAGGTTGTAGTGTGAGGGAGAGAGAAATCAAACCATTCATAGCGATGAAGGTCCTGTAGGTGGTCCATTCCTTTTAATTTCTTTTGCGTTGTTCGTTGATTATTTCTTCCGGCCAACAGATTGAGGAGGTCATGCAAGAAAGTGAGAAAGAGATGCGTGTACAGTTGCGTCGTCAAGCAGCAGCCCACAGCGACCATCTTGCCGATGTGCTGCAGCAACAAGCTCAGGAGTTTGACCAACAGCTGCAACAACATGAGCAAAATGTACGCATCCAGGAACAGGATCGATATCATCAGAAACTGGCAGGTGCCCTGGCTACATTGAAGGGTGTACAGTCTGCTGTGGAAGGTAAAAGCAATGCACTGTAATGGTATTAGGCAGTGCTTGGAGACATGAAAAACTCCATAAACTATTAGCTCAAACTTATCCTTGAAGTTCAGTAAACTCCAGCTAAGTTGACATCGGTCACAAAATCGCTCAAGTCGGCAGTCTTACAAAAGTTCCGATCTTCTCTAATGCATTTCCATAAGAATTTTTAATTCTAAGTCAGCTTTTATGAGTTGTCATTTCCACTAAGTCAGCGTGTTACTCTCTGTCTCATTTCCACAAAAAGCACAACAAAATCTTTAGTGGAAGTCGGCATTTAAAAAAATACAGCATTGGCATCGACTTCCACACTGTGGTTGGCAAGAAGTGTTCATGTAAATGATGAGTCACATGGCAACGTCCGTGATCACTGCATCGGTGTACGTTTATGTAGTATTACAGTCAGGACACATCTCAGCACGGGTTGCATGCACTGTTGTCATGGACAGATTCCAGACCTTTCTCTGCCAGCATGTGAACATTTTATCACATGTAAATGCATTGTATTGTAAAATTGTATGGATTTTTCCTGCTAAAACTTTGTGTTTTGAATAAGGGTATGTGGAGTCAAAATTGATAATTTCTGCTTTCCCACGGTCCAAGCATGAGACAAGTTGCATTGGGAGCATAGTGTGGTGGAAGCGCACGAGACTTGATAAAACCTCTATGGCACACAGGTTCCTATGGTGGAAAAATAGTAAGAACACCGTGGAATGGCCGGGAGCCAGTGACGCCCATGACAACGCAAAGTACATTCCAAACTTTGACACTCAAAAAACATGAAGCAATCATCGAAGAACTTCTGGAATACTTCAGTGAATGAAGTACTTCACAGAACTAGATCCCCCTCTATTTCCCTAAGTATTTTCTGCTTTCATGTATTTTGAAGGTTTTAGTGGATGTATTTTCAGCAGTCTAATGGAGTGCAATTTTTTGTTGGGCTTTCGCCGGATGAATTCAGTGTTTACCAGTCCATGTACATGTACATGTAAATGCAGGCATGCACTCTATTTGCACTGATGAACCGTTGCCCTTCACAAAATTCAATCGCATCTCAAAACTTCGGAGCATTGCAAACCATGTTGAATGTTGTCATTGTGTCTTTTCTTTCCTCCATGCTCGGACTAGATATTTTGAGCTTTGCAACCTAACCACATATCATGCATTTACGTATGTTTATGCATGGGTCATCATTTCATGTAAGTCGACAAAGTGACAGCTTACAGTAGAAGTCGGCCTTTGCATAAGTCGTCAAATTTTGGTCCCGACGGTGCCGATTTCTGCCAGAGTTTACTGTATTAAAAGTGACACTGATTGCAGCAATAATTTGAAATCTTCTTGTGTATCCTGATTGTGTATCCTGATCGACCGTTCTGCACCTCAAGATGCTGCTTGTCACCAAAAATGAACAAATTTGTTGCCACAATCATGATGCTACTCTCATAAAAATAAGTCCAAATGATGTCATTACTAGTGTAGTTAATACATGTAGATAAATTGTCAGTCGCATCATGAATTGACACACCAGGGATAGACGCCACATTATGAACCATCATGTAGTCATCAGTGTAGAGTTCATGGTTGGTATGTCACTTCATGGCTATATGCTGTATATGTCACTTTGTGGTGGAACTGATGAAATGGTTCCATTTTCTCCAAAGTTTTTTGTAGTAGTCTTTGTTTTTTTGGCTGATCCATATTTCTATGTTTTCAGGACGCGCTGGTATGGAGAAGCAGGTTCAGAAGGCGCAAGAGCTTTGGCTGGCTTGTGAAAACCTCAAACGGACTATTGCCTCAGGTAGGTTGGCTTGCAAGAAAATCAGATTTCTGCCTGATGTAAATCACGTTGCTGTAAATAGAATTTCCAGGATGATATACACGGTTGAAAGTATTCCACTCAAAAAAGGGTTTACATGGTGCAACATTTCAAATGAGATTCTTTAGTTTGCATTAGCTGTCCGTAATTGCATTTGTCTGAGGCGTATTTGTATTTATTGGCATATTTCTATTGAGGGTAATATCCTTGTATTGGACTGATAAAGAAAATGAGACCATTTTGACAAAACACCAACTGTGACTTGTCTGTAGGAGACACCATGTCGGCACCACTAGCCAATGAAATTGTTGCTGTGACTGATGCTGCAGAAGACAATGCCTTTGTGGATGCCATCATCAAATCTATCCCTGAAAAAGCATTGATACAAGGAGTGCAGAGTCAAGAAGCCCTACGACAACGCTGGGATAATGTTAACAGGGTCTGTCGTCGTGTTGTCATGGTCGAGGAATCTGGCAGTAGTCTCTTCAAGTATGTCCTCTCTTTTGTCCAGTCACTGCTCATCTTCCCTCAGAGGATCCCAGCGACCCCGCCCCCAAACCAGGAGATTGACCCTGACTCCTTGGACACGTTCCGCCTACTAGACTTGGCCAGCTATCACATTGAGCAAGGTGATTTGGAGCAGGCTGTCCGTTACATCAACCAGCTCCGAGGGATGCCCCGTAAGGTTGTTGCTGATTGGCTGAGAGAGGCCAGGTTGCTATTGGAAACCAGCCAAGCAGCCAGTGTGTTGTCAGCACATGCATCTGCATCAGGGCTTGGTGGGCTAAAATTTTGAGTGAAGTATTGATAGCGAATGCAAAGTAAAATAATTTTATTAGTGGATGTAGCCAAACACGTTTTAAGGTTTCAGGTTTCCAAAATCATTCCCAAATGCGTGCATTCACTTTCGTTCTTTCCCCTTGCCGACACGGCGCTGGGAAGGGTAAACACCTTTCATTATTTGAAGGAAATACATCACAGCTTCAGATGCACACCAAGCACTGTGCACAAAGTGTTGACCCATGTTTTGTTCATGTGAATTCTACAAGTGATCAATAAAAATGACATCATGCATTTGCTCTTCCCAGTGACCTGTAAGAACAAGCAAAGCTTGCATCCAAAAATTTATTGATTTACTCGAAATCATACTATCTGAAAATATCATAATTGGCTGAATCTTGTGCATTACATGTTGTATTTTCTGTACTATGTCCACCTTATCGTGAAGTGTGGATTTAAAAAAATCAAATTCCATCAGTTTTCTGTCTGTGCATGGTTCACATGACCGACAGAATAAACATGAAATTCCTATTAAAATTCTACTGAATGAAACAAAATGCATGTAATCAGCGTACGTTTGACGTCCACAGGTTTCAGATTGTACGTGTATTGTCAATATGGGGTGACATTGACTTTGCTGTTTTTAGTTTCATTTCTAATAGTGCAAACAGAAAAATCGCTGTCTTTACACTCTAAACACTGCAGTGCATTTGTAAAATCTTTTTTTTTCTGTTGTAGGTAATGAAATAAATGCCTAATTGTTGGAGACAAATGATTGTGGTTTTTATTTTTGTGTACAAAAATCACCAAATAATGGTAAAAACCCACAACCAGATGGCAATGTGATTTTCATGGAACTTTATTTAAACTGCTCATAAAATATGGATTATACATTTACACTTGTGTTACAAAGCTGTATCAAAAGAACAACAGGTGCGAAATGATATCCATGAGATTTGGTTAAAGACGGATGGATTGGAAGAAAGTCAAAAGATGTCAACATTATAAAAATATAACCAACTTTTAAAAAAGCTGGGGAGTATTCATGTTTCAGGAAAAAGGTTACATATTTAAAAGCCATCTGTAACTTTGATAAACAACAAAATGCACTTACAAGTAAAAACAGTGGAGAGATGCAATTAGATGTATAGGTGAGCAAAAGTAAGGATGATTTCTTGCAATGTAATGAAAAGCATAGCACTAGTAAAGAAATTAAAGCAAGTGCCCATTAAACCTGATTTTTGAGGAGCTACCATTTCACTGAACTGTAAAATGAAAAGTTTTACAGCAAGTATTTAATGAAATTTTTGTTGTGCTTATGAACTTGGTGTAAGAAGCTGCATCCCTTTAATTAATGAAGTAGTCAATTATAACTAGTATGCAAACAAAGCTTTTCCTTTGCATTAATTTGGCAATTTCACATTGATGATTTTGTGAATCATGAATGGCAACCCAGGCTATTAGTTCTGCAGAGAGAATGTTGCTATTCCATGTTGAGGTTGCCCCAATCTATTGGAGTCTTGCCAACTTTCTTCAGCATCTCGTTGGTCTTGGAGAAATGCTTGCAGCCAAAGAAACCGCGATAGGCCGAGAGTGGAGATGGATGCACACTCTTCAGTACGTGGTGTCGTTTCTGGTGAAAGAGAAAAATTATATACCGGTCAATGACACATAGTCTCTAGCAGTTTTGAAGATGGTGCTATATAATAACAGAGTGAAGACCAAGGCTGTGACGGATGACACTGACATGTTCGTAATGCCTTGAGAAATGCGCTCGTAATGTATACCCAACTAGGAATGAGTACCCAACTTAGACATTTCACAGAAGCAATCCTTGTTTTTTGGACACAGACCTTCAAACTACGTTACCAGATAACCTTTCCATAGCTATTGATTTATTTCAACACCAATATTATTACAAGCATGCTTTTTTTTTTTACCACCAAGACTTTCTATACAATGTCTGACTAAATTATAAAAACCCAGAACTCCCCAAATCAGGAATTTCAATGCATGTTTTGAGTTGTATCATACAACAAGAAATGTAACATACAGTGTTTATGATGGTGCCTTTCTTTTGTGCATGGGAACCCCAGAGTAGGAAGACAATGTCATCACAGTGTTTGTTGAGCCAACTGATGACAGCATCGGTGAACATCTCCCAGCCTTTATCCTTGTGGGAATTGGCCTGATGAGCTTGAACAGTCAAGACCGCATTGAGAAGCAATACACCTGTAAATGAAGGTCAATAGAACGTTCCTTGATCACGTTTTCAACATGGGAATCATTAACCTTACTAATCACAGTGCATCTCGAAATGTTCCTTGGTTTAGATCTCGAATCTTGATTAAAGGTTACGGTCCTGCTTTATGAACAGCCTACCAGGACCTGACTTAAGCCTTTAAACGTTTACTTTTCACGTTTAAAGTGAAGCTGAGGAGTTGTGAGCCTGTTACACAACTTCTACAGGAGAAGACAAAATGCCAGTCTGATTCGGATTCTCTTTTCATTACATTTTTGTTACATTTATAAATGTGTATACATCAGTATCTTAAATCCTGCTAGAATCCTTCAAAGGATGTGGGGCACTTTTGAGCTTGTGGCAAAAGGTATTGTAAAGAATCCTTTGGTTTTCATCACAACGACAGACAGTTCCCCACATACTGAACTGCAATTCGATAGATTTCATTTTGAAGCTAAAAGCAACTTGACTTTGACCTCATCCAAGGTATTTATGCTGGAAATGATTGGAATGTTTCACCTTTGCTACTATGTGTAGTATCCTGCGGCTCTGTCTATGATATCAGATTACAAATGTGCCAAAATGTTACCTTGCTTTGCCCACCCAGTGAGATCTCCATGATGAGGGATCTGGAAACCCTCAATGTCTGCAGCTAATTCCTTAAACATGTTCACCAAGCTAGAAATCGGAAGACAAAACACAATAGCATCAGTAAAATTGTTGTTGGTATTTTTTTCTAACCTCAGATCATTTTTGTTGTTTGAAATGTTTAAGAAACTCATACCTGGGGGAGCAGTTTTCCCTGCATGGTCACAAACCAATCTGGCTGTTCAATGTTGAATACATACAATCATAGGTAAGCATGTACATGGATATCTAACCCAATGAGTACCAGACTAGATATATCAAGTGATGGTATTAGAACCTTTTAGTCTAAGAAACCTTGCAAATTGTTTCTTTTGAGCTCAGACAGAATTTTTAGTGAGTAAAAAGTTACCTGGGCGGTGGATCCACTCCTTTCTTCACACTGAAACACAAACCTGACACAGAAAAAAACACAAAACACTTGTTGTTTGTGCACTGTAGGTATTCCCAAAACTTCATCAGTGCCTTAAACCTTTCTAATAAGATCTTCAACTTCAAAATTAAAATAAGGTAAGCGTAGTCGTGGATAGCAATGGCCTGGTTAGTACACAAAACAGAAGTACTCGGATATTTTCAAGTACCATGTACATGTACTTCTTCAGGGTGAGTGTGATGCTGTCACTGTTAGTCTATTAATTTATTGTTAATCTTCTTTCTTGCTTTACAGTAACATGCATAGGTCTTATGTAGTAGCTATTATTTGTTTACATTTTTAGATTTTTTTACTTTGTCAACCTTGCTTGTCAGCTCCTGTGCCATTTGTGATTTTTTAGTTACATACCATGTGCTTGACCTGGCCCATGGTAGGGATCCTGTCCTAAGATTACAACTTTCACCTGTTGTTGAAAAAAATAATGACAAACAGGAACCTGTTTAAAATTGAGAGATGTGGCTTTTGAAGTCAATATGGAAAAAAGAAAAATTTACGAGTAAAGTGAATGGTTTTGAGAAAGATCAGACTACATACATCATGGATGGAGCAGAGCTGGGTCCATGAATAGACTTGGTTTGCTGGTGGGTAGATGGTCTTAGTCAGTCGTTCCTTCTCAACAAAGTTTTGAAGCTGACAAAAAAATTTATTTGGAAAAAGGAACTGTCAACTCTTAATTCAGACAACTGGTCCCAAAGATAAATAAACTTGTATAACATTAATGGTCAAGAATTTGGCATGATTTCTTTGTAAAATTGCAAAAAGCAATATAGTGTCAGTTTTCTCATTTTTGTATAACATTTAATTATTGCTAATACCACACTAGTGATTTTGCACAATGTTAGAAAGACACTATGGGAAGCACCTTGTGCAAAATCACCGGTGTGGTATTAGCGAAAAGGCTTATACTATGGCTTTTATGAGCGTAACAAATTGTAAAAAAAAGGAAACTAGTAAACACAGAGGAAGGAATAAAAACACTACTAAATCTTTCCGTACTTTTGTGAAGTATGGCTTTTTGAACTCAGCAGATAGTGCCTTGGCCCAAGATTCTCCAATTCCTGCTGGTGTTCCAGTGACCTGGCCTGCAGACAGCTGGTTCCCTTGTTTGCTGTGAAGTCTCTCCAATGCCTTGGCTCGTTGTTGAGCCATTCTCTCTTTCTGTTCTGGGCTGAGGATCACACCTGAGTCTCCAATTGTCGATCTGTCCACGTTATCAAGAGATTTGAGCTTCTTGGATGGCGTTGATACCTGTATGCAGTACATTACGTTTGATACACAGGTACAGGTTTATTTTCAAATAATTCTCCAGAGCATTTAAAGTCATGTTAAATTGTACAAGACTGTTTAAAATGGATGAGTAAAGGTGAGTGAGTGTGTGTAACAGTTGGGGTATAGGCTTAGTCATGCTAGTCATGTGAATTGTAGGGGCCTACTTCGTACGAGGCTTCACGTAAAACCATGAAAACTAGGCATAGGCAAATTGAACATGTTGATCTTGACGATGGTTTGTTTACGCATGGAGGAAGGAACACACCTCCTCCATGGTTGACGTTATCGGTTATGAACTCACTTGCTCATATTTGTTTTCTTCAGATGAGTTGTCCGATGCTAACTGCCGTTTTGCCCCACTGCTGACGGAGGCAACTCGGAAGAAGGAGTAAATCTTTTGTTGTCCAATCATTCTGTGGTAATTTAATTTTACAAAGGTGAAACAGTGCCCGAACAAGCTGGATCTCAATCGATATAGGCTCCTTATCATTGCATAAGCTGTAGTTTAGTGAGTACATGTGCAAATTTCGCGCCACCGAGTGGGCGCCAATATTATTACCCACAGATAATGGAACATCCCATTTTTACAATTCCAATTCCTTTTTTTCAGATCACATTTATACATAATTGAATTATTGATAACTTTAACACAAGATGAATACATATTAAAATTTTTGATGATAGTATTACATGTGGTTGTGACCAAAAACCTTATGTGATAAAATACGTTGTAACTATCAGAGGTGATTGCATATGGTACGTCCGACAATTAATAATAGTAAGAGTTGTTATTATGGGTGCATTGTCCCAATTAAAGGAAAAGAGATTGTTTCGAAAAGAGGGGTCTGTTTGGGCCAAGAAATGGTGGGATTGTGTCACTATGGCTCAGGATCATCAGACAAAAATGGGATTGAAAATTAGTCAGAAGAGCCCCAGGAAGGTGAGGGATGTCATTTGAAAAATAGCAGCTGGGAAGGGCTTGGCAACGTTCACTCTTGGGGGGTGAGTTTGTCTTGGGCCGATAATTAAAAATTCATTTGTTAACCTACTAAAAATTGAAAATAAAATTAAATCTGAAGGACCAAACAACACATTGTTTTTTGTTTGAGAGGCCTCAGGGACTCCAGTTGCCTGCCATGGGGCTCCAAACTTGGTTGATCTTACACTATTTTCAATGGAGCTTGAATTGGTTCAGTGCACCCTTATTTGCCGGCCACCTGACCGTTTGAGGGCGCTGTTTACAAACATCGGTGGAAATTAGGAAATTAAAGCTAAGCCTAAGGCTGGGCTGAGTAACATTTTGTTTGGGGAGTTGCATTTTTTGTATGGAGGAATACAGATATTGAGGTAATAATTTTATTCATAATTTGACTTCTCTGTTTGTGATTTCACACGTTTTTGCGTAGAACATACACTGCATGTACTCTTAATGGGCCATATCCCATGATTCGGCTACGCGATTATCGATTCTCCAGTCATGTGTCGTGTGTCTTCCTTCCTCCATCGGTTAGGCCAAGGCCTTGACTTAGGTTTAGGTAAGGAGCTGGATTGGAGGCTAATAAATTTTTCAAATATTTGTTCTGTTTGAAGTGATCTTGGAAAAGATGTCATAAGAACTAACGTGCATGATCGTATTATATAACCGTCTATTGTCAAGTCTCATTGGTTTTCACAGTAAGCATGGTAAGTTGTAAAATAAGGGACCTGGCGACTGTTATTCACACTATACCAACAAACACGTCATTCTGATACAATAGAAATAGGCCTATGGGTTCCATTGGACTTCAAATCGATTTGAAGCGAGGATGTTTTGCTTTACACATGTGTAATGCAGAGCAAACTGATTATTTTGTACACAAAAGTAAGTGTGGATTTTAAATGAAAACCTCAAAATTTATATTTTTGTTAAATCTTTATTCTTATTTGTGCCTTATTTCAATGAATTAAATGTTGGCTTCACTTCAATTTTAAAAAATGAGCTACAGCATGCAAAAAAAGACAAATTTTAATCACAATTTCCTATTTAAGAAAATGAGTTTCCAAATAAACAGCGCCCTCACCCGTGTGCATGTCCCTACCATGACATGGACGTTTAGGTCATTAGGTGTGCATAGGCCAAGGTGTTGGTAGCCCAACGGTTCCTGTCACAAGCACAATTGTGTATTACTTCTCTTCTTTGTTGCAGTTCCCCATCGTCCCCATCAAATTTCCCATCATCTCCAGTCGTTGACCACACCCTTTCCATCGCCTCACACAGTCTACTCCACCACCCGGCCTTCCACCCCCATGGCTATTCCTAAGGGACGTGTTGGCTACAGCATCATTGGAGATAGGTCTGCAGAGTTCTACAAGAATCCCATTGCATTTGTCAACTGCCGTATTGAGGAGTATGGTTCAAGGGTGTTCTTATCACGCCTGCTCAATAAGCCTACCGTTTTCATTGGAACAGTCAGCGGAGTCAAGGAACTCACAGGAGGTGTGTACAAGTAACAGTCCTTGAACAGGTGTTGTGCTGTTGAATCATCATAAAATCGCCACTCGCATAATGTACATTTGCATACTTAAAAAATTTAAGTGTTTTTCTTTTCATTTTGTTTTAGTTTTGCTCAGGATTTTATGATTAACTCTATTTCTCTCCCAAGACAAAGCAAAATTAACTTATCAAAGCATGACTTCTTTGACCAGTTTACTATACACTTTGTGTTGATGATATCTGTCTTGCAGAATATCATACATGCATCAGGCTGATTCAGATAATTTTGGCTGGATTTCAAAGTTTTCTTTTAGCACATGGAACCGATATGAAGGACATTTTTGCTTATTGAAACCTGTAGCAGTTTACAGTCAAACATGTCAAATTGCTGGCAGGTTTTTGCGGATACTGTGAGGCACATTTAGTTGTATCAGATTAAAGTATATCATTTTAAAATCACTCTTATGCCTCTTAACAGAAAAAAGTGTTCATTTTGACATGGGATACCGAGCCTTCTTACAGCCAATGTTTGGAGATAACATTATGTTTGAGGTACCCATCGAGGCAGCTCGGCTACACAAGGTGATTCATTCTATATATGGTGCTCAAACAATACCCAGCATTCAAAATCTCATCCAGAAACTCACCAAGAAACACTTCAGCTCACTCCACAAAAGGTAAGAAACTGAGTAACCCAGAGTCTTATTTTTACTCTTCACATTAAGACCATTTTATTGAAAGGTTAGGTTTGCTGTAATTGATTAAATGACCTGTTATAAACTCATTATTATGCTGTGAACTTAATAAGGCTGCTTTTCTTACCTTTTCACAGTCAGTGTGTCAGCGTATACAATGTCTTCAAGCGGTTTGCAACAGAACTATCCTTGGCTCTGTTCCTGGGTCTGGATGCAGATGAACACCCAGAGATTACAGAAAGTATCATTGCACTCACCACCACACATTGGCATGGTAAGTACATGTAGATAGGATGATAGAACTCACCCTGACACATTAACATGGTGAGCATATAGTTAAATGATTGCACTTTTCATTACACTGCCATGGTGAGGCGATGGTATGAACACACTCATCACCACATATTGGTATGGTTAAGCAGACAGGACGATAGAGCTCACCACCACACAGTGGCATGGTAAGTACATGTAGATAGGATGATAGCACTCACCCCAACATAGTAACATGGTGAGCTTATAGTTAAATTATTGCACATGATGAGCAGGGTAGATGGCACTTACCACCACTCTGAAATGGTGAGCCGATGGTATGAACACATGTTATCACCACATATTAGCATGGTTAAGCAGACAGGATGATAGAACTCACCACCACACATTGACATGGTAAATTGAGTAAATTGCATGCCAATGGAAGTGGGCTCTGGACAAAGTTGTAGTGACCCTCAAGATATGAAACTCTGGCAGTGAAAATAAGCCTTATGGTTCTGTTTACAGTTTAAAATAATTAATAATTGACATTTATAAAGCGCCCAATCCATCAAGCTGCTCCCAGGCGCTGTACATCAAAATATAGATAAATAAATATAACCTACATGTACATGTACCATTATCAAAATCAATACTAAGAAACTAAAAATGCTTGTTTAAAAAGGTGCGTCTTCAGCTCGGTCTTAAAACTCTCCACATTCCTAGACTCTCTAAGATGAACTTCAAGCTGGTTCCAGAGACAGGGACCAGCCACAGAAAACATCCTCTCACCAGCAGAAGACAACCTAGATTTTGGAAGAGTAAGCCTAGACGAGTCCAGCGCGGAACGAGTGAATCGACTAGGAATCCTAACATCAAGCAAATCACTTAAATAACTTGGAGCACTGTCGTGGAGACATTTAAAGATCAGGAGACACACTTTAAACATTACCCTATATTTTACTGGCAACCAATGTAGTTGCATCAGTGCAAGAGTGATGTGGTCAAATTTCTAGCCATTAGTGAGTAAACTTGCTGCAGCATTCTGGACTCTCCGCAAAGGAGCAAGGGCTGACGCCGATAGACCTATTAAAACAGAGTTACAATAGTCTATGCGAGACGTAACAAGTGCATGAATAATCTGCTCCATGGCTGATTGACCCCAAAACGTTTAATTTTGCTTATATTGTACAGGTGATACATTGCAGAGCGAGAGGCATTCTTGATGTGGGATTGCATGTTCATTTTGTTGTAAAAAATCACACCCAGACTCTTGACTTCAGAGACTGCGGTAATATTGTGATTACCAATATTCACAACAGTTCTAGGAATTTTGCTCAACAACATATGCGATCCAATGATAAGTAGATCTGTCTTATCATCATTTAGCTTAAATTAATCGCCATCCAACATTTGATGTTGTCACAGCATTTTTCCAAAACTGACACTTGTTGCTGTACAATGCATGTTACTGGCAGTTGGCTGTGCTGACAAATACAACTGAGTGTCATCTATATAAAAATGACAACTCAGTCCATGATGCCTATAACATCCCCTAATGGCAACATATGCACATTGAATGAAAGTGGTCCAAGTACAGAGCCCTGGGGGACACCATACTTAAGTATATAGGTCTCACTCATAGTTCCCACATCCAATCCACTCCGACCATTAGGCGATAAAGACCAAATCTGAACTCTCTGTAAATGGTCTCTAAGGTAAGAAGAAAACCAGTTGAAGGTATTTTGTGAAACTCCTACATTTGTCCTTAAATCGATGAAGCAAAATGTCATGATCAAGCGTATCAAACGCAGCACTTAGATCAAGAAATACCAGAATGGAGACTTTGCCCTCATCCATATTTTCCAAATATCATTTTGAATGCGGGCAAGAGTCGTTTCCGTCCCATGGTGGTGCTTATATGCCGATTGAAAAGGTTCATGTAACATTAACCTGGTCATATGATTAGTAAGTTGTTGCGCAACCACCTTCTCAAGAGCCTTGGAGACAAATGGTAAATTGGCAATTGGCTGATAATTCTTAAGCAGCTCGGCTTGATCAGCCTTGAGGTTCTGAGATTTTGGAATGGGAGTAACAGTAGACATCTTAAAATCATTTTGAAAAACTGCAAGGTTAATAGAAGAATTAACAAGAGATGTGATTATTGGGCAAATTTCAGACAAACAGCATTTTAAAAGTGCAGTCGGTATCGGGTCAGCGCCGCAAGTTTTTGGAGGACACTTGCGTATGATTTGCTGGATCTGTGCACAAGTGGTGGAGCCTAAATTAAGCTTACATCCTTCGGGAAAAATTGGATCTTGAATACTAAAATCTCCTTGACCCACACTACTCATACTCATTGAAATAACGTATTTTGTGTGTACATATCAGGGATCATCTCCGTGCCTTTAAGTGTAAGGGTCTCCATGTTTACATCAGCGTACAGTAGAGCTCTAGAGGCCAAGGTATGTGGGTGAAATTTCAAATTATCTTCTTACTCATGGCAGTGTATCAAAAAAGATGAATTTTTTATCAAAGCTACGGTATACATGTATAAACTTATGTTTGAATCAGCCAATTTGACTTTCGTAACTTGGAAAACTAAGTACTTTGGGCTATAGAGGAAAGCCTACTAACCAGATTAGTACTGTTGTCTGTTGCCAGGAAAAGCTGTTAGAAATTATCCGGGAGAAGTTGGAACATGTCCAAGATGGTTCTCTCTTGCAACAGATGACTCAGGCAGGATTTCAGACGGAAGCAGAGATGGAACAACACATGTTGCTCTTCACATCAGCTCTTGTACCAAAAGCTCTCGCTTCTATGATGACATCATTCCTGCTAGCTATAGCAGGTCCAGACAAGGTAGGTTTCTGAAGTAGTGCACATCTCATCCTTGCAAATGCCTGAAATGAGTAACTTTTATTCCTTTTCCTTTTTTTTGATCTATTTTCATAATGGACTCAGTGTGTAGGCTACAGACTGTGCTGTGCCATCTGGCATGTATGGCTTTTTCACCCTACATTCCAGACTCATTCCACTGGATGGTATTTGTTGATTGAGCCCTCAACGAGCTTTTTTACCTTTGTGCTTATAAATCCTTGCAGAAATCCTCAAGAGAACGAGCGAGTGGCGATAATGAATATCTGCAACATATTCTCCTTGAGGTAGAGAGGCTATGGCCACCACTTCTAGGAGGAAGGAGACTTGCCATCAAGGTAAGGAAACATGTGAGACAGGGTCAACACAAGCTGAGTTGTTAGGCCAGCCATGGTTGAGGTAGGATAAGGGTAGACTGGGTTAAC